GCATCACCTCTTTTTTCTATACTATCTACTCGGCAAAATTTTTTTCAGTTTATGGCCGGGAGGATCTTACCGTAAATACAGTCCTATATCATTCGGGGTCTTTTTTTGAAGCATTCGTTTAACTCTTTGAAAACAATGTTATTCACCAGCCTGGGTGGGTCCGTATTATTTATATTACAGAAATTAACAATTATGTTTAGTAAACTGAACGAATTACCGATTCACTTAACGATAAATGCACCCGAATTCAAATGAATTTCCCATAACAAAATTTTCGTGTCGTTACTGGGCTCTGATAACAACTGCTCCTGGGGCTAAAAAATTGCTGAAATTCTAAGATAAGGTGGCAAAAAGTCTGTTTTAACTTGTATTTACTTGGATGCCTGGTCTTTGCCTTCCCTACCCACCCTCGATACAAGGTTGAGTTTGATTTTGAGGCCAGTCTCTAGTCCTAGCATGGCTGGTGGCGGGGTTTTTGAGGAGGGAGGGAGGGAGGGGGGGGGGAATTAGATGGTGTTTTTTTGCTCGCCTTTTTTCTTTCTCAACCGATTGTACTTTTTTCATCTGCTAGTAGTGGAATTCTGCGTTAAACTGTTTTGGGCCCTCGACTCACTCGTGTGGATGTTACAGTGATGAATAAAGATTATGTTGGTCAGTACTTACACTCTGTCGAGATAAAAAAGGTAGCTGAAAACTTTTGGGGGTAAGTCCTGTAACTGATTATGGGATAAGTCCCTGTCAACAAGAAAGAATCAGAACAGATAATTAGATGTGCGCTTTTAGATGAAGTTTAAAACTCCACATAACTCCTAGCGGGAGAAAGTCTTGTTTTATTTCATTTTAAGCGCCCCTCCCCCCGTAATAAGCCGCCTCCCCCAATTCCTCCTTCACACTTTCTTAAATACAAAGAAAATCTGTTTCTTTGCCACTTTATCTATAATTTTTTAAATTTAACTTCAGCCTGATCAGTACTGGTTAACAGTTTGTTAATAAGCGCCCTCCTTCCAAGAAACGCCCCTCCTCTTAGCCGAAATTTTAGAATAGCGCTCCGGTGCTTATTCGAGGAAATACTTTAACTGAAATTGTTTGATTAGGTTGGACAGGTTTGAAGGAGTTTTATTGCTAGCTAGCCATAAACTTTTTTTCCACCGATAGTTGTTGAGGTGGTTGAATTCTGCACGAGACTTTTTCGATTTTGGATATTGCAGTTGTAAATAGAGATTTATGTTGGCTGGTACTTACAGTCCGATGAGCCTCGAAAGCCCTATGAAAATTTCTGAGGGTAAGTCCTGCAACTGATTATGGGATAAGTCCCTGTCAACAAGAAATCATCACATCAAATATTAAAGCTGCGCTATTAAGTAAAACCTATAACTCCATATAACTCCTTGGGAAAGAAAGTCTCGTTTTGCTAAGTTTCAAGCGCCCCTCGAGTAAGCCACCGCCCCCTTCCTCCTTCTTTTTCTCAGATATGAAAAGAACCTGTTTCTATTGCAACTTTACCTATAACTCTTTAACCTTCAATTACAGCTGAAGCGCCCTCCTTCCAATTAAGCGCCCCTCCTTTCAGCCAAAATTCGAAATTAGCGCCCGGATGATTATTCAAGGAAAAGCGTTGAATAAAGTCGGTTACTTAGGTTTGACGGAAGGGATTCCTTGTTGAAAATCAAGACGGACTCGTTTTGCAATTGGTCAAGATAAAATTATTTGATACAAATATTACATTTACAAATAATTCAAGACGTCTCTGAATTTTCAGATTAACGGATATTTTGATGTCATCGTGCAGAATGCGGATCAGCCGGCTTTTACCTATCCACCTTTCCCCTCCCCCCTAACGCACGACTGTTCTACATAGCTGTGCAAATAAGTAATTTGACACTTTCCTTGGAGTCATCTTCAATTTCACAAGTTCTCGTCCGTTAGAAATTTTATTTTCGCCACTTTCGATATTGTGATTACAAGCCTATCGATATTGCTTTTGTTTTCTACAAATTTTCAGATAAGCTGAAACTTTTCAGACATATTGGTCTATTGATCTATGTTTACTCTCTGGTACGTGGGTTGTTATGTTTATCTATAGATAAATATACCCAACGTACAAAACTGATTCTGATTGGTCCTTGCGAGTTCGGTATTATCATAGCGCGACATATCCGCGCATTCGGCATCGTAAAAAAAATTTTGTCGTCTAGGAGGAAAAAATTCTGTTTTTCTGCCATTAGGCTTGCAGAAATAACCAACGAGTTCATTATGGAAATTTTCGACAAAACGGATGATTCCAAGGGCATGAGGCTGATCGTTGTAAAACTAAATCCAAACTCCAATGTTTAATTTCAATTTCCTTAGCCCGACAAAGTAACTCACAAACGGCAAACAGCATGAGATGTTGGTACAAAAACTGTCCCGTTGTTAATTTGATGAGAGAAATAAGACAAAGAGGAAAATCTCCAAACTCTTAAAAGAAAACTGCGGTAGTACTCAGGTAATTTGAACTACATGCTAGCCCGGAACCGAGTGTTCAGATCGTCACAAATGCCACATCATGTGGCCACGGACACTCGTACAGGTTATATGAGGCAAATTGTCGTCATTTTTCTGGGACATTTTATGGCATCTCAGAAATGCCCCAGTGTTTGACATCAGAGGTTTTTGCCAGTGGTGAAATAGTAACCAGACGAGTTTCCAATACACTTTTAACCTTTCAATGGGATTCATTCCACAGAAATAAAAGTCCCAACTATTCACCAAAGCTCCTTGATCACATGAAACGGAACACTCCTGGATCTCGAGTAATCTTTGGATTTGCGGATTGGAAAGCCACTCTTCATGTGTCCTATTTTACCTACTATAAAGTAATTCTTGTTTTTATTATCCTTCAAATGTTTTCAACGCGCTGGAAAAATTTTAACGAACAGCATATCGTTTGCTGCGTGGGATGTTTACTTTTCGGTATTCTCTGGAAGACTTGATTTGAAGACGTGACGCGTTCCGAGATTAATTTTCTTGGTCAATTCCGACCCCATGATGCTGTTTCAATGCTTCAGCTTTTCTAAAGGCAAGTTAAGTTTGGAATATTTTACCCTCTATTCTTTTCACATTTCGGCGTGGAAATTTGGTTTAGCCTAACTGCCCTGACCGGAAGACCAGTCTTTCCACACAAGACCTCGCTATCATGTCAATTTTAATTCATGATGTCAAAACAAAATGGCCACTCGCTGAAGAAAATGCGGTCCAATCCAATTACAGGAATTATTGAACTAATAATAATAATAATAATAATAAAAGAAGTTTAATTCCACCACCATCGCAGTTAGTCTGAATTACATTACTATCAGATTGTGGGAGAAAAAGAGCTCCTTACAAACAATAGTCCTTGACTCTTTTTGTATATTCCTAGGCATTCAGTCATGAGAGTCAGCTGAACAAATGACCTCCTTATGTAGGGACCAGAGTTTCCAATGGTCTAAGTACAAATAATGGCTGGGTGGGTCGCCTCAAGTGAGTTACCCTGACGACCACAAATAATTGACAGAGCCTTCCACACCGCTCACTCAGTCATGAACGGAGTCCAATGAGAACTCAAAAATAAGTTAATGGAATAACTTCCTACACCATTAACTAAAGTTAGTATATACGTACTAAGGGAATAGTGCTTTTCGCGCAAGTTGATTGGCTAGTTCAGATATGAATTAGCAACAACTACTCACCTCCACTTTGGTGAATAATTGTTAAGGCCGTCCAACTATTAGGGTCGAATAATTATTAGGCTTAAGATCACTTCTTTTCTTTACAAGGATTTTCAAGTTCCGGCTTAGCATGCGTAGCTAGAGATTTTACGAGAAAATTAATTTGACGGAGCTAGTAGAGGGATGCTAATAAGACAAAAATATAAGTAGTTCCTTCACTTGCAGTTCGACCGCTCGTTTACTGGCCCAGTTACGGCTTACTCTGCAAAAAACTATTAGAGCCATCACCTTAACCAAATCCTTTCTCATGCCCGCCTTCATGTGCGGAAATCCCTAAAGATGTTGGGGCTTTAATAGCGTCTGATTGGATTGATTCTAGATTTACATTCTTCCAGGAAATACGCAGGCAAATTAAACTCCTGTTAAGTCTCTCCTGACTCGTTCCAAGTCCAGTTGCTGCTCATTATTGGTGTCAAGAAATAATTGACTGATATTTTCCCTTCGTCCGTTAGTCAGTCAGCTCAGAGGTAATTCCTCCGCCCTGCCCCCTCACCCCCTCGAAGTAAGACTCTTAGGTTAAGCGCTTGCATGATCAGTTTCGTCTCCATTCCGCCATCGAGCGCGACAATCTTACTGTCTAAGTGGCTATTTATCTTGAGCATCCAGTCATGATGCTCGACCAAAGGCGTTCACGAAGTCACATTATTTCTGTCAGTGACGCCGCACTTTCCACAAGCTATACTGCCTGGTGTATGTTATGGAAATCATTGAGGAACAAAAGTTGGGGTCACATGATGAGCCGCAATAGCCATGAGAGAGTTAAATTATGATAAAAAAGTATCAATTTTGCTAAAGGTAACTTTAGAATCAAGAGTACGATACCAAGCTGGTGTGAACTTTCAAAATCTGAGTGAAATGGTCTAAGCCGCTGTTAATTTAAATCAAAAGACCCTGTATTATGACAGACGGATCAAAATCAACCAAAAGAGACTAATGAACTGTTAAAAATTTGGAAATCAAACGATATATTACACGGAGCTGACCAATTAAAGGGCCGAACTTTAGTTATTCAAATAACACGTGATTATGCATGTGCTTGATTCCGTTTGATGACTAACGCCCACGTTTATAAAACGTTTTTCTCAGATGACATTATTTCTTTCAACAATCTCATTTACCTGGCGGATCACGCTCAGTGACAGGTAAATTTTCACGGTGTCCTCACCTTTATCGTATGCACAATGAAAGAGATGCTAGTTTTTTTTTCCTCATGACAGAAAGAAATGATGGTTTCTAATTTCGCAGACTTAGATCTACGTCGCTTGATGGTTTTCACCAAGCATGTACGGCCCCCTCGCTGTCATTTCTGTATGCAACACCTCATGGGTTTGGAAGGAGTCAGCTCAGCATCTATGCACCCTTTCTTCCTCCCATTTCATCCCGACACTTACCTGGGTAAGTTACAGACTTTGATCTACTTTTGGTCCCTGTAAACAATTATACAATCGAAGTTCAACAGTCTTTACTTACAGCGTCAAAGTTGAAAAAAAGGACCAGTAAATTCCACCAAAAACTCCTGGAGATAGATCCTTTAATTGGTTGTGAGACAAGTCCCTATAATCAATAATAACAACAACAAATGTAAGCTGCGAACCCTAGGATAAAATTCCGCATAGTGAATAAAAGTGTTTGATTATTTCTTGATATGATTTGACTGGTTGGGGCTATTTTTATATCATGGAATATATCTTCATTGACTAAAATTTTACTTGGCTTTAACCGCACTGAGGCTGTTTACCTATGTAAACTTATCCTGAGACTGAATAATATTGTGTATTTGGTATTTTCTGAACGTGGTAACATCTGCTAATCCAACTAAAAGTAACAATTTCAATTTTCACGAGACGGACAACTTTCAATTAGTTGGGTGGAGTTGAAATGAAATCTTAAACTTAGGGAAGTACAAAAAAGAATATTAAAACAACTGTGCGTGCTATCCTTTGACCTCCGAATGGTCCTTCATTCAAACATTTCAAGTCATAGAACAAAATCCTTCATCTCAAAATTAAATCAAACTGCGTAAAGTGCAGTACAAATATGGCGCGAATAGAGCACAAGTAAATCACAAATATCCTGCGATATTGTACAGTTGGTTATTATGTACTGTAAAAAAAAGTGAGCTGTTTGTGAGCTATCCGCTTTACTTTTCCCGCCTTATGAGAAATGAGCAGAAACAATTGGCAGAAAAAAGTTAGGTAATAAATAACTTATTAGACATTTTGGTGTGTAGTATTTTTAGTATTTTTACTCGTTGCGCATGTTTTACATAATAGGGACCTTAAGCAGTCAGGACGGCAACGCCAGCGAAGACTTCAATTAAAAATGAATTTTTGCCGTTAATTAGAATTTCAAAAATGGCTGAATGTGTTCCCCGTCTCATACGGCGCCACACCTCAACTTCAGCATAACGTATAAAAGAGGCGTTGAGTTCCAAATGGAAATTAAAACAACCTGCCGTCACGGTTTCGGTTTGCAGACGACGCAATTTGTGATGATTTCACGTTGTTGTTTTGCATGGGACGGCTATGAAATGTACAAAATTTTCAAACGCACGTGCTGAGCTATTGTTTTGTTAATTAAATCTATTGTTTTTCCATGTCCTCGTTGCCGTCTCTGTCGTGGTTTGCTTAAGGTCCCTACTGTGCCTGATACCGGTGCTGCATAAAAAGGTTTATGCACCTCCCATCTATTACCGGACGGGCGATTTCACGGGCGAATTAAACACGAAAAACGGTAAGGTAAAAGTTTAACCTTTTACCTGAAAAAATGGCCTTCTACCTGATTTATTTATCACAACGTAACAACAGTTTTGGGAAGACAGTGAAAACACGCATGACTGGTGCAAAGGTCAATCACAATGTCGCAACGCAACAATAACTAAGTAGTCTCACGAATTAGCTCTAAGCTGATGTGAACAACGTGTTTGCTGATCACAGCTGGTTTTAGCAGATTTATAGCCATTTGCAAAAGGCTTCTCGTTCTTTGAATGAAACGCCCCGGTTGCATTCTTTGCATGCCTCACAAGCGTACGCGTGATTCTAAATACTCCTGTAGTAAAACGTAAATGAAGATATTCGCGCTCCCCGTTCCTACACCCATAGCCTGATTCTCATTGAGAGCGAAGTTGTCCGCCCAGCTCTCTCCTCCAATACTACGGATCGATACGAGTCGTCGTACCCCTCACTAGGGAGACAAACCTTTTTTCATCTCATACCACTGAGCCCTGATGGTGGTGTGTCCATTCGTACGAGTCGTATGAATATTTATTACGGAAACCATGGAAACGAAACGAGTCGTAAAGCTGTGCTGTCTATCTACGAATGTCATTAGGGAGATTTTTCACAAAAGTGGCCCTTGTTCTAAAAGCAACGCGTGAAGTGCGCAAGCAACAACTCTATTCCTCTTTGTTCTAAAAAAAAGGCCTGCTCGCAGTGCACAAACGATCACTGCGTTTCTCGTCTTGGCAAAAAGCACTACGTAAAATGGACCAAATAATTTCCATTAGGAATGGTGCTTTCGAAGCCCTTTGGGCTGAAGGGTTCTTTCTGACTTTTATTGGCGATATTCATAAATAATTTTATTATAAAAAAAATTGTCACCTATAATTTGTTATAGATTGCAACTTCTACAGAACTTGTGAAAGGAAAAGCATAGACATTTCTATTGTTATCAAATAACAACCAAAAGTAATGTGAATTCTGTTTCAATACAATGCAATATTAATGAGCGGACAAATTCGACGCACGCATCGGAACACCGAATACATGCAACCGTTGAAACGATGATTAGTATAAGTAGTCAGAGGCTTTCGAGTGCAATTTGGAATAAATAAGCACGAGCAAATTTTGTCAGTCACCCTAATGACATTCATGGATAGACAGCACAGCCATACGACTCGCTTCGTTTCCATGGTTTCCGTAATGAATATTCGTGAATCGACGACTTGAACGACTCGCACGAATCGACACACCACCATCCGGGGCTAATTCTCTCAACGTGGAATACATTGCGTGAAGTGCTCAAACAACAAGAGTATTCCTCGCTCTAGAAGCACTGCGTAAAGTGCACATATAACAAAGCGCTTAGGATGATTTTGCAGGAAGACTCTTCACAATTCAACCAACAAAATTACTTGCAAACGCACGGAACCGCCATGGACCCAAAAATGGTAGGAGTTTTTGCAACTATCTTCATGGCTAAAAATTCAAATCTTAGATAAAGGCGCTGATTGGAAACACTACATCGACGACATAATCCCTCTCTCTCGAACACAGTCAACATAAAAGATGGGGATATACTCAAAAGTTACCCTTCTAATAACATACATGGAAAAATTACTCAATTCTGATTGGTTAAGATAAATGCAGTTTTCAGGTAATTCAGTGCAGAAGAGAGTTAATTCAGTGCAGAAGAGGGTTAATTCAGTGCAAGGAAAGTGACAAATCAGACATTCTGATTGGCCAGTAATCAAAGAAACTCACAGATAGCTAATCAAATGCGAGCCTTGGATGTCAGAACCAAATTTGAAAATTTGAAAATTTGCGAGCGAAACGATGGCCGGCGTTTTAGGTAGGTTTTCTTTCGCCACCGCAGCTGAAAGACAGCTCAAACAACGGAAACACTGTAAAAAGCTCTGCATTCTGGTTGTCTATTTGGAAAAAGTGATGTTTAGAGAAGGGAATTGCCAAGGAAATCGAAAATTATGAGCCGACCCAGCTTAACACTTTGCTCGAGCGATCCAACGCCGAAATTAAAAACAAACATGGTTAAACCTCGGAAATGACGATTCCATTTCATCGAAAGTGATTCGGACACAGCCTGAACAATTCCTTGAACTGTTTAGCCGGACTTTGAACTATTTTGCGCCTTAAAGATGTGAAGATATCATTGCATATTATCACGGTTTTGATCGTGCGCGCTCGTTTCGAGCGAACGCACGGTTTGAATAAATTATTTTTGCACTTGATACACGCGCTTTGCTTATGCTTAATTATGATAGGCCATCTCGTATTTTTTCATGTATATTATTAACACGTAATCACATGATTTTTCTCTAGCAATTTGGAATAAACAAGCGCTACCTTGTTAATTATTCAAAGACCACAAAAAAAATTTACTCGTGCTTATTTATTCCAAATTGCATTCAAAATCATGTGATTACCTAGACAAACATGTTGATGAACGAACTAGAGTTGAGCTATCGATGTAACAGTGGCTGACACTGTAAAAAGATGGTTTCGTGCTTAGTTTCAAAATCTATATATCACAACAGCTGATTCGGAGAGTTTTTCTTTTTTCAAAATTTCGATAAATAGCTCCCCACAGACTTGTTCTGTCGATTGGAATCGTTCGTACGCGGCATTTTGCAAAAAACTTTCTCTCGGTTTGAAAGAAACCTTGATACAACGTGCTGATTGATTCACGTATTTTGCAAAAAAAGCAAGTGTTCGAAGCGACCGAAAATAAGTCACAATGGCTCTTTCTCCAAAGCAAACTCGAATTAAAGAATAATGTTGAGTCAGTCCGTAGTAATTGATATGAATTATAATCCAGATTAAAAGGAATATCTGCATAGTGCATAACAAAGTCTATAATTAAAAAAACTCCAGATACGATTTAAATAATGTGCAACTATATTTAACATTATCGGATATATCTTCATTGGCCTCAGTAAAATTTAAGGAGTGGCTTAATCATTCCATTATCCTAGGGCCGAATAGCATTGTTTATTTAGCATTTTCTGAGGTTGATACTATCTGCACATCCAAGTGGAGGTAATGATTCAAAACCATGAGGGATAATTTTTCTATTATTTTGCTGGAATGAACATGAAATCTAAAAT